CCACTTCTTTGGGGGTGGCCCCCAAACGAAACACGTTGGACCCTCGGTTTATTTGGGAAAAAGTGATTGTCTTGATCCTCTCTATCACCCAATTTTTTTACATGCGGTCATGTAACACCCTGTATAATATCCAGCTTTAAGGCGCCATCCCTTCAAGAAGTTCCGCATCCATTTGTACCACAGGACTACTATTGAGTCCAGAAAACGATTAAGGTAAAGTAATTATTTGATTTGTATAATAATAACGATCAGTTCTCTTTAAGAAATGACTTTAAATTTTATTGAGAGTAGGTAATCAGAAAGTCCTTAAAGGAATCGATTTCTATAAAAAATTGGCGGATTTGGAGCCGCATAAAATATAGAATTCGTATGTTTGGACTCTTTAAGAAGGCGTTTTGGTTTTTCTTTCCGTTGAATTTAATTTAGTCAGTTTAAATGAAAATATTCCTATAAATGAGTTCAATTTTGTTATCTATAAAGGTGTTTGTGTGTTAGTACAAATACGCCATTCGTATTGTGATTGAGGGTTAAACAGAGTTATTTTAGAAGGACATTATGTTTAGTATCTATCGTAACCGTTAACCTTTAAGTAAGAAAAATGCCAAATAAAGTGGAATTTGGATTATTTAAGCATTTTAGCTTAAATTCTTATTTACTATCTGCAGTCGATCAACTCAACCGAAAGTATCAAATTTTTAATTCTTTGAGAAAGTAAAAGAAATTTAAAAAAAATTTTTGAAAATTACTGAGATATCACCGAAAAACTGAAAATGTCAAATTTCGTTTTCATTTTGGACGGTTTGCAACTTTACCCCCATTTAACCTACACTGTGTCTCTCGCCCAAGGTGACTTCTCTCACCGTTACGGAGATCTCAACGGTGAGCCACCCTCTACTATCCAAAACACATTCAAAATTCCGGTAAGTTACAGGAAAATACCATTTCGTCACCCGTAAAAGTTTAATAGGTACTACTTGTACCAAAACTGCAAGGGTGAACCTGGTTTCGTTTACACAACCTATTTGTATGTAATTAGAACAATAATAAACTCGAAATTGTTTATATTTTGTAGAAACGGGCACATATGAAAAAAAAGTCATATTACTCTATGTTTTGCATTTATAGTATACACAATTAACTCGCTAAAAATTTCGTTTTTATTATAATATGAATAGAAAGTAAAAATAAAACCGGAACGCGGATCGCCTATAAAACAGCGAACTACTAATACAGTTTAATGTTCCTCTACATATACGTCCATATGAATTCTGTGATTGACAACTGAAAAGAGAGCTTTTGATTCGAATTCCGAATCTCTGTTATCCTAGCGGTCACTTATGCTCCTTTAATATAAATTATTGAGTCGGTTGAACTTAACGAACATAATGATGTTATTGTTATAAATGTTTCGACCCTAAGCTTACGGGTAATTAGGGGTAGATTACCGATCGGCAATTGCTCACGACATGATTTTAAAATGTGAATGTGTACTTTATAGCAGTTTTTTAACTGTGGGCTTACGATGGCAAAATTTCTTTAGAGCAAAATTCCTTTGTAGAGTAGAAAATTTTAATCCAATGCGTATGTCCTGCGGTCACGATGGTGTATTAAACGTGCAGCTGGGCACACATCGGTCTTCCTGCTTTATTCCACCAATATCGACCATTCACGTAATTGTTATTCAAATTCAAAAGTGTGATCTTATTTCCGCTTAATGAAGTAAGAAAATTGAAAGCTATCGTTCGTCTTAGCTGCAAGTGTAACAATGGGTCACAAATTCTCTAATCCCCGCATTTGTGTTTGACATAAGCACACTCACAACTACAAATAGGTAAATGGCCTAATCGTGACAATTTTAAGTTGTAGATGTAGACCACCCTCGCAAACGATAGTTGTAGTACAATAGAAACGACCACAAAACCGCAATAATTCCATAGTTCCGATTGCAGATTATACCACCCATCGTTTCGACAGTATATTTCATAAAAATCTACGTACCGCATCCTGCATTATTACGCTTCGGGCTACGAAACAATTTAGACAAAGCGGGGGTGAATTGGACAATGCAGTTGAGTAAAAAAAGAATTACGTATAGAAAAATTAGAAAGGACAAAACGTACAAAGGTCTGACCCTTGGCCTGTCAGATCCTTAAATTTGATAGCAGCGCATTCAAAAGCCTAGACGCAACGTCACAAAACTTGGGTCAACTTTATGTATAACTTTATTCAGATTACGTCGTACGCTCTCAGTGCGTAATCCCAAATCTCCATTAACGATTTTAAGAACTTTATATAGCAATTTTATACCTCTTCTTGTGTAGGTGAAAGCAATTTATAAATATAACGTGTGAAAAGCTAGCCATTGCATCAAAAAGGGCTTCGCAAAAAAACTTAGATACAATCTCTGTATTAAAAACGTCCCTAAAATTTCAAAGAGAATCTTTAGTCCAGTAATTCCATTGTGCCGTTCGTTTCACAATCAGATATTAGCAATCGTGAACTTTATTTTTATTGTATAACCTGTCAGGGCAGTACGAATTCCTCATGAAAGCGAAGCATCAGTTGAAAGGGTAGGTGGATCCGGGCTGCTGAGTATATCGTCCTTCAGTCCAATTTTGGGTTGAAATTCTTTTTACGAGTCGTGTTTATAAGTATATACGTGATGATAAAACGTTATACAGACACATTTTTATTGGCTATTTCACGATTTCGTACCTGGCAGTGGATGCCATCGCTCATAGAAATTGTCGCTGAAACACGCAATTGTAAATTAGAAAGTTATTTTTATACGACGAACAGTTTTTGTAACGCGCGATTTTTAAGTCATTTACATCCCTCTATCAATAAAACTATTGTCGTTTGTTCTATTGGCTCTAGGTTGGAAGCATTAAATTATAGTAAGTAATCTCTTATTTAACGTAAAGGACTTTGTAATTTGTATTTTTGTATTGGCATTGGGGATTTTGATGAACAGTCTCGAGTTCTCCGCGGTTGTTTGAACGTTGAGATGCAATGAGCGGGGAAATTGCGAGGACACATAAATTTGAAGATTAATAATAATTTGTTCTCGTAGTTGTATCCTACCAGGGGTGTGCCGTCGTGTAGCTCCAGTTGGTCGGCCAGAGATCGAAATTCCCAATAATTTAAGACTTGTAATGTTCCTAGGTGTCTATCAAGCCGACACTGTAAACGTTGACTTACCCTATACTTACCGTTGGCAACCCTTGGAAAAAACTACAAGCAGAGCCACCTA